TATATATATATATATATATATATATATATATATATATATACACGTGTGTTCACTGTATGTGTATATGAGTAAGAGTCAGTAAGTGTGTGTATGTGTGTGTGTGTGTGTCCGTGCGTTTGCGCCTCTGCGTTTTTTCAAAGTCATTTTGAGCGGTCACTTAATTCTTGTGAAACGTTGCTACACATTTGTGGAGGGCGTTCTGCGTGAATGCGGCTCTGCATGTGTATGGGTGTGCGTGACTGCGTGTGCCAATGACCGAGTGCATGGGCGGATGCGGTGACGCAACGAAGAAATAAAAAGCACAAAACCAGAGAGACATGACCGACGGCGGATGGAGACAAGTGCGTGATGAACGATAACGGGAGGGAGGAGAGCATAACTAATTAACTATCAAGGCACCAGTTGATGCGAAAAACAGAAAAAGAAAACAAGTGATATATATATATATAGAGAGAGAGAGAGAGACTGCAGTAGTCAAGTGCGAAGAAAGGCCAACACATGGGTCAATAAAATAAAGACAAAAAAAAACGTTATGGGCATGAGATGACGGTGTGCACGTGGAAGGAAGAGGCGCTGCGCACACGCACCCGCGCGTGCGTCAAGTGAAAGAGGCAAACGAAAAACTTAAGCGGGGAAGAAAAATAAATTGTGGAGACAGGCAAAAGAAAAAAAAAGTTAATAGTTATGGGCAGTAGAACTAATAAAAAGAAGGAGAAAGCAATGCCCAGGAGGAGAAGCGAAAAGAGTGGAAGGAAAAATACCACCAAAGGTAACAGAGGGAGGAAAACCACTGCTCAACAAATTATGTCTTCTTTTGTGTGTGTGTTCCCCCGCGCATTCGAGTGGTGATAATTATGAGGTGCTAACAGCGTGTGTAGTCGAGGGGAGTAACGAAGGAATGCAAGAGACTGGAGCGACAAGGAGCAGCTCAGGTGGCGGGAAGGTGAATTCCTTTTGATCATCATTCATGCGTTGGGCAAACGAAGTGGAAACTTACGCACAATGTAAACGAGATGCCATGAGGGTGCTGATGGTGATGACGGAAGGATTAGAATGAAAGAAAAAGATGACACGCAACGTAACAACAAATGTGACGTAAAGTACCTCTGAAGTCTTTATTTTACTCTGTTTGTACCGCGCGTATGATATCTCAGACTGCAAAGATGTTGCCGTGGAGGTGTGTGTGTGGGGTGGGTGGGGGAGGAATTTTGAACTGACACGTACGTGAGAGGCATTGCATGCGTCAGAGGCCCGTGTGTGTGGAACACCAGGGGAGAACGCATGCACCTCTCGAGCAAATACAAATGGTGCATGTTACACACATACTTCCTTGCGCATGCATGCATGTAAATGTGTATATATGCGTTTGTGTTCGCAAACCACCGGCTCCCAATTCAAGGTCTATGTGTTTTACTTTAAAAGCGGAAGGTAAAAAAGTAAAACAAAACAAAGAAATACGAACAAAAAAAAACAGGAACAAACAAAGAGGTGAGAAGGAGAGAGGAAAGCAGTGGTACTGGCAGTGGTGGAGGTGGGACGGGAGGCACAGTGGTTTTTTTTTTTAAAGAAGAAAAACGGAAGTATGGGATCAAATTGTAAAGACGGCGGGAAGAAGCAGGTACAATCAAGTTATGAGGAAAGATACAAACAGAAGTAACACCACACAAAACAAAAACAAAAAAAAGAAGGACCGGACAAATCTAACTGGTATGGAATGCAGTAATGATGAGAGAGGAAGAAGAGGTGAGAAAGTGTCAGGATTGGGGGAAACAATGACTAAGAAAGAGAAAACAACAACGACGAACTAATGAAACGGAGAAGCATAACAACATGTGAGAAGGAACGTGGACAACAAAAAGGAAAAAAAAAACAGTGGAGATTTTGTCCTAGTTTATGACGACAATCACAGCAGAAGGTTAAGACCGGAGCAACCTTCATTTCTTAGAAGTAAAGAAGAGGAAGGTGTTCTACCCAGAAAAATACAAAGTTGAAGAGCAGGAAAATAGGGAAAGGACGTTTCGAACGAGAAGTAAAACGAAAAAAAAAATAAAAAAATAAAAAAAAATGAAGATATAGTGTGCACGGAACCCATAAAGAATTGGAAGTAAAAGAGAGTGAAGAAGAAAATCGAGGTTCCTTTAAACCTGCCAAGAAAAAAAAAACGTCTTTTGTTGCTTGGTTTGATATCATTGAAAGTCAGTGTATACATATGTGTATGTATGCGTCTGTGTGAGAAGGGAGAGAGGAAGCAAGAGAGGAGGTCTCAGCGCAAGCTTCGAGCTTTAGACGTAATAAAATACTCTCAAAGGGGGAAAAAAGCATACATACGGTTGCTGCCTTGTGGCATCTTGGCAGCCTGGTTACAATGGAAGAATTGCAGGGGAATAATTGCGATGTGGTGTGATGAAGGGCGTGTGACGCTGCCTCATTAGTCTCTGTGTGTTTGCCTTTTTTTGTTTTTGTTTTTTGTTTTTCTGTTGCACGTGTGTGAAATTAGTTGTCAACCCTATCATATTAAACGTAGGGAATTATTAAGCCTTTGCCCACTCTCACTAATCGCAGCAGCGTCACTATGTCTTCTAGCGAGAAGGAGCAGGATTCATTGAAGACTGGCGTGCCGGAGTTGAGTGCCGCGGAGGACCACGAGGGGAAGCATGTTGCTGGTAACGGCACTGGTGGTGAGGCGTCAACTTCAGCGTCACTACCACAACGGCAACAGCAGCAATTATCAGGCGATGGCACCTCAGTGGAGGAGGAGAGTCAGGATCACAGGCCGGCTACTCTCGCTCATATCCAGCAGAACTTTGGTGTCATGGCCCGTGTCTTAGAACGGGAGGTGTTTCGACGAGGATTGATAAATAGTAGCGTGGAGGAGATGTACGCATCTTTTTTTGTGATAAGCACCGTTCTAATTGAAATTCTTAAAAGCGAAACGGATCAGCGTGTTTTACACGTGCAGCTTTTGGAAATGTTGCTGACTATTCTGGAGCCTACCTACGGCATTGAGCATGCACGAATGCTGGTGGCCATAATGGACCAGTCTGTTTCTGATTTGTATTTGTTCCAGGCGCTACTATCAACATCCTCACTGGATGCTTTGGTTCAGAGAGCGGAAGAGTTCATGAACCCCCCGACACGCTCCGTTGGCGCAGGTATAAGTGGTGGCATTTCTGGGAACTATAGTAGTGTGTCAAATGAGAATGTGCGTAGCGTGCAGCCGACGTACAACAATGCGTCGGCAGCTGTGCGCTCCTCATACGCAGAGTTCAGTAAGGACAGACGTATGGACCCAGCGTTGGAGCCAACCATGCCTCGTGGCGCCAGTACCTACACGGAAGGTGGCGGCGCCCCGGCCTCCAGCCAAACAGATGATGAACCGACGCCGACAGTTACCTCGGGTTGGGCAAATGTGCAGAGAAAGCATGCTGAGCACGACCATGATGTGCCTGTTCATCATTACCATCAACAGCAGCAGCAGCAGCCACATCACATACAACACCGAGTCCCTTTTAATCAGTACCTTCATCAGCAACGGCATCAGCCTCCAAACGTAGCTCATCATCACCAGGTGGTTGTAGGAGCGGGTCCGGTGGCATTACAGCAGCAGCAGCAGCAGCAGCAGCAGCAGCAGCAGCAGCAACAACAACAACAACAACAACAGCAGCAGGAAAATCATCAAACGGATTCCTTCCCACGTGCACCGATGCCACAGGGGCAGCAGAAAAGGATGATGGATCGCCTGTCGCCTGGCACGCAGGAATCTGAGGACTCACATGTACGAGGAGCAATGTGGCGGGGTTCACTCCCACCACCGGGAGCCCAGCACGATGGGGTAACGGTGTCACAGTCATCATATCACTCCCAGAACCCATCGTCACCGCCTACGCTACACACAAACCAGCATCAACTTCCTACCCCTAATTCCCCAACGCATTCCAGATTTATGCTGCATCACCGTCACGTCACTACACACCTTGTGCCACCCGGCCCCACGGGGAAACAGGCATCGCCACAACCTGCGACGCAGATTTCTCCGCAGCTAACCCCACATTTAACCCCGCAACCTGTCACGACGACAACCTCAACGGCAACGACAGCTACATCAATTTCCAATCCGCAGCGCGTAATGGTTCCTCATCATCATCATCATGATATTCAGTCTTCACAGCTTATGGTGCCCCGAGTCTCACCCCCATCGCAATCCATCCAGCTTCTCGCGAAGCCGGAAGCTGTGAACTCACCTGAGACAAAGCCTGTTGCCCACAATGCAGAGACAGCCGTGCCACAGCTTAAACCTCACCATTTTCATCATATTCCTTCTGGCCAAAAAGTTGTGCGCCACCCTCAACCCAATGTGGGCGTGTCAACGTCAGTGGGTGTTGGTGGTGGCAGTGGCAGTGGCAGTGGCAGTGGCAGTGGCGGTGGATTTAGTGGTGGAGGGAGTGACGCGCCATCTCATGGGATTATGATTCCCACACACCATCACATGGTACATTTTCAGCAGATCCGACAAGTGGTCCCGCCGCAGCAGCAACAGTATCGACAACCTACCTCGTTAACTTCAGGTCCGATGTCTATTGACGCGCTTAGCAATGAAGAAATGAACTGGACCTCGTCAGAGGCAGCAGCAATGTTGCCAGGTTCACAGGAGATTCGCTGCTTCCTTCGGGAACGAGGTGTGGCGGAACCCGTTATTAATGTTCTGGCTAAAATGTTTTTGTCATTAGATGAATTGATGGCAATGCCTCGTGAGGTTTTGGATGAAAGGTTAAGGAAAGAAGTATTGCCTTTCAATAATCGGCAGTATCTTTGGGCAGCTTTGCATCCAAGCGAAAAGCAAACATCTGAAAAGGACGTCCCTGAGATGAGTGAGCTACGCACCTTCATCTACACTAATTCCATCCACAATAACATGTCTCAGGAAGGGGAAGATGAGAGTGCAACGGCTAAGGGTAGTCGCACGGGCAAAACGATGCTGCAAGTGCCTCAGCCTAGAACATCTCAGGGTAAACTATCTCAATCAGGAAAAACAGGGGAACATAATGCGGTCATTTGGCTTTCTTCGGTTCGTTTATGGCAAATTCAATCCGTGCTTGAAGAATTGTCAAAGTACGGCAAGGTGCTGCAGCATGGGATATCATCTCATGGGCACGATCTGGTATATGTCAAGATGGGTGAGCACAAGAATGAACTTCAGATGGTGCGAAAAATAGGGAGTGCCGTTGTGGAAGATTACTATCGTGTTTCTCCAGGGGATGTAGATGATGGTGCCCCGCCGACGCCGACGGGACGTTCCGAGGACGCTGATGACAATGGCGCCAGTAAAATCCTTGGGCAGAAGTCCGGCGGTGGGTTGCAGGCTTACCCACAGCATCACCATTCCCCCGTGAACCGTGGTCACTACGGGGTTGTCGACGAGGAAGACATGGATGGTGATGAGAGCCGGAATCATCGCAAGGGGAGTGGTGTGAGGCATACTAGAGGACGAGGTCGTGGCGGGCATCACAACTACCATCCTCATCGTCACTCAGAAGGAGGCCACCAGACGGTCTGCAAATTTTTCAGTAAAGGGACGTGTAAGTACGGGGATCGTTGTCAGTTTTTCCACCCGACGAAGCATTCGAGTCGGTCGTGATAAAGAGGCAGAAACAGCAGCAGAAAGAAAAAAGAAACATCAAAAACAAACAAACAAACAATGAAAGCAATAAAAAAAAGGGAGGGGGAAGGAGCAAAGGAAGGTAGATTCTTGCCAGTTAGGGGATATATGTTTTTAAAAAATATGAAAATAAGCCCATCCTGGATTGCTCGCTCGTTTGCCTGTTCATCATCTTTTTTTTTTTCCAGTCCCTCACATTGGAAGTTGTACCGTGCACTGTACCTGGAGTTTCCTTGCGTAACAACAGGGGGATGCGTGCGTGGTTTGCGAGTGGAGAGACACTAGAAGGGAGCGGGGTGGGGATGAGGGAAAGCTCCAAAACCGGAAAGAAACGAAACTGAACGACGGTGAAACGGCGTAAAACCCAAAACAAACAAACAGATATAGATATATTATATACATATATATATATATATATATATATATATATATATATATATGAGGAGTGTGCAATGCCGTAGGCGGTGGGGCGAAGAAAGCGAGGAACGAATATTTTGTTGCTTGGCGTATATATATATATATATGCTTTTGTTTATGTGTGCAGTAAGCTCAGAAGTAAGTTGGGTTTTCCTGCGTCAGTGGGAGAGGGTGGGGGAGGAGCGAATTTTGCCTGCAAGCGTGGAAACAAAGCAATCAAACAAACAACATACTGAAAGCAAAATAAAACAGAAAAAAAATATAATAAATTGCGGTGAAGAGGGAGAGGGAAAACGGAGGTGGTGTAATTTTTTAACTACGAGAGGGAAATGCGCGCCTGGATGTCGACAGATCTGCGCTGGGTGATGCACCTACGTATATATATATATAATATATATATATATATATATATATATAATAACATAATAATATATAA